AAGTTGCAGCGCTATTGGCCCCAATCCAGGGTAAGGGAACTATGCACACTCACCCCCACACAAGTACATAGCTCAATTATATTTAAATATGCAGCATCGTATTGTGCTCCATCTCGTAAGTGTATGGGCAGGTGGTTGGAGTGTGTAGAATGCAAACTAAATGTAGGAACTAATACACACTGAATGTTCTATCTACTACACACTAAATGTACTATCTACTACACACTAAATGTACTATCTACTACACATTTAATGAACTATCTACTACACACTAAATGTACTATCTACTATCTACTACACACTAAATGTGCTATCTACTATCTACTACACACTAAATGTACTAAATGTACTATCTACTACACACTAAATGTACTATCTACTACACGCTAAATGTACTATCTACTACACACTAAATGTACTATCTACTACACACTAAATGTAGTAGCTATTATCGAAGATGAACGTGGCTTAATGCATTCTATCACTATTAAACTATATGCGATCCTGCCCATACGCACACTACTTCTCACACCTCTACCACTGATCAACTGATGTGATATGCCTTACATACGTTTACAGACGGCTCACTAGCCGGCAATAGGACGTTTCATATCAAAGGGTGTGCTATATTATCGGCAGTACCATAATATAAATTAATATTCAATTAATATTCAATTGATATTCAATCAATATTGCGTATCAAGAGATAACACAATCACCTCGTAATTGTGGGCACTACCCGTGAATTGTGGCATTTACACACTCTTTCGCATAAACTTATCAGGAACACACACATACACATACTTCCACTCTTGCTCATTGTTGCTTGTCTATTCTATGTATATGAATATATATATATATATATATATATATGCAGACGGCTGATTGGCCCATAATGCGCCGTATCATATCGAGTGGGGCTACGTTGTTAGCCGCTCCGCTCGTGCGAGTGCATGATCCGATGTCTGGGTTTTTCGCCATGAAGAAAGACGTGACCGCCAAAGGCTATAGACTCAATCCCACGGGGTTTAAGATTGCGTTGGAGATCATGGTCAAATCGAGTCCCATTCATATCATTGAGGTGCCCTTCACGTTCATTGACAGGGTATGTATATTGTGTATAGTTGTATGTGGGAAGTTTTTTTGGGGGGTTTTTTTGGGTTTATTTTGGTGGGAGGGGGTGGGACAATTCTGTAAGTTTGGAATTGTGGTATAAATAGTGGTCTGATCGAGTCTCGTTCCTGCCATCGAGGTGTCCTTATATATCCACTGACTTGGGGTGTGAGTAAGAACGGATGTATGAAGTGGTATGTACTTTGATAATAAGTCTTCTCCATGCATTTACCATGGCGTAGGTAAACCGGGACGTTTCAGAGATCCTGGTTCTATTTATATTTATATATCTATGTATTCCATCTGCTGATTTCTCTTGACCCAATTTTCAATTTGGCTACCCGATTTTCAATTTGGTAACACGTTTTTCCTTGATCCACAGGCGGTTGGGACCAGCAAACTCAGCGCCAAGACACAGATCCAATATGTGCGACAACTGATGTCTCTGTACTGGTTTGCGTATCCGTTGACTGTCATCACTCTAGTTTTACTGGCCTTAGCCGCGTTAGGGTTCATGTACCTATACCTGACCAAGAACAGAATACGGTCGTCCATGTCCCTGCCAACGCCCTTATAAGATTAGCAGAGGCTCAGGGGAACTGAACTGCGGTAATTAGATACACAAGTGTAACCACGACTATTAAAATATAACATTCATGCCCACGGCTTATCAGTGTATGATTACGATAAGATGGAGTAGGTAATTAGATACACAAGTGTAACCACGACTTTCTAAATAAAACATTCACGCCCAGGGTTTATCAGTGTATGGTTACGATAAGATGGAGTAGGTAATTAGATACACAAGGGTAACCACGACTATTAAAATAAAACATTCACGCCCACGTCTTCTCAGTGTATGGTTACGATAAGATGGAATACACCGACCACAGTATGCCCTGGGGAACTGCAGTGACTAAGCACACTTGAGCCAGGACTAAATAAAACATTCACGGTTCATCGGTGTACGATAGCATATAACCCACAGACATTATTGCGAGTCCAGAAAATAAGTTCAGAAAATATGTCCAGAAAATAATGCAGACATAAATCTTTAATCTTCAAATCTGGAATCTATCAGACGTTTCGCTGTTGCGTTCCAAATCTGAATCGTTCTGTCGGCGGATGCTGTGGCCAAAATCGGATCCTTGGGATGAAAATTGACGTCATATCTAGATATATAAATAAGGTCAGTAAAACAAAACAAAAGATCAAACTAAGTCATATCTGGATGTATAAGGTCAGTAAAACAAAACAAAACAGAAGTTCAAACTACTAGTCATGTATCCGCACGCGAGCATGCCATCCAGTGCTCTTCCCCACACTTTCCCAGTTGGCAAAGAGTGTGGCTTTCCGAGGTGGGTTCTAGTCCGGGCCATTGCTTGGCTTCAAATAGGCATGAATACAGACCCACTCGTTTTAGGGTCTAGGGTTTTCACACGTTGGAGAATCAATGAGGTAAACAAAACTGAACTCACAGTAGAACCTAAGATAACTTGCTTGGATAGAAAACTATGGTACGTCATGAAGGCTATGCTGTCTGACGCGCTACACCACCGAAAAACGTGAACGTAAAACTAAGTTTAAGGTATTCAAACTTGCGCGCGTTCTTGATCATACAGTATACACAAACTGGGTTGTCAGTGCATCGGTCTGCGGTGTGGAACTAGAAATAAGCGAGAGTACAGGAGAAAAGATATTTAAAGTGTCACAGTAGTTGTACTACATACAGGCAGTGCGGTACTACA